CCACTGGAGGACCTAGGAAGGTTTGGCTTCCCTGGTCATTGAAATTCACCCGCGAGACTGTTTTCTTTAGTTCTTTTCATGGCAGAGGTGTCGGAGAAGAGTCTTTTCCACGTCTACCTGCATGCAGGCGCGCGCGAGCGAAGGGCGGGGGGTTTGGGGGTGGCCCGTGGGCGGGAATATCCCCCCAACCACCTTATTTCAGGTTGGTGAAATATTATAATTCACCCTGATGAGAACCTTGTGCTGGTGGATGGATTAGGGAGTTGGGAGCAAGTGTCTCCGTAGCTTGAGGAAACGCGCTTATTTGCTGAGGGACCACGTATCCGTCATTGTCAAAACCTCAGCTCTTGGATGCTTTAGGGCATGTTTCAAGACTAGGAGCCTTTTGTTGATTCTGACAGGAAACCAACGCCAAGTCCACAATTTGGATGGATCCCATGTTGATACTCACGTTACATTGCGGTTCCTTCAAAATAGTTTCAAAATGGCACGGCAACTTGCTGTGCATATCCGTGGAAGCCTGCGCTCGCATAGGTGAAATAAAACTTGACTGCTATTGGGTTGGATCTTTAGACTTTAACTTTTTAGGACATCAAGAGGTTTTCCACCAACCCCACAAAAAGTGAGACACTTTTTGCAGAGGGCTCAACAACAGCCAAGAAAAGCACGCACCCAGCCCTAAGGATTCTCACGCACGCGCCCGGTGCCGTCGGAGCAGGCGGCGACTGGCCGCCTCCGCCAGTGCCCTTTGCCGGCCGAGGCGCCCGGCTGCCGCGCTCGCGGGGCTCGGGGTTTGTTCTGAGTGCGAAGGCGTTTCTCGGACCATGGGGTCAAAAGGAGAGCATGGTCACTCCAAATGAAAGCATGGTGAACTCAAACTGATGCGTGACTCAAAATGATGCATGGGAACATTTGTGATCAAAGGAAGTTTTGAAGGAACTTCCGTGAAAAGGGGCACAAATTGAAGGTAGACGCGCAGATTAGATGAGAGGATGAATGCGTGCGAGAGAACATGAGTGGGCGTGCGGCGGGGGAGATAGACGGATAGATAGAGAAAGACACGCTAAGCATTTTCTCACAAACCAGGCGCTCAGGAAAGAACGAGAGGAGAACAAGACAGAGAAAGAGAAGGTGCAAGAACAGAGAATGAGAAAGGGAAAGGGGCAGAGAAAAGGAAAGCAAGAGAGAAAAGGAGCAAGAGACAGAAAAGAAAGAAAACAAGACAAAGAGACAGAGACTGATTGAAAGAGAGACAGAGATAAAGAGAGATCATAACGAGACAAGGAGAGACAGACAGAGAGAGAGAGAGAGACAGAGAGAGAGACGGAGAGAGAGACAGAGAGTGAGTGAGTGAATGAGTGAGTGAGTGAGTGAGTGAGTGAGTGAGTGAGTGAGTGAGTGAGTGAGTGAGTGAGTGAGTGAGTGAGTGAGTGAGTGAGTGGTGAGTGAGTGAGTGAGTGAGTGAGTGAGTGAGTGAGTGAGTGAGTGAGTGAGTGAGTGAGTGAGTGAGTGAGTGAGTGAGTGAGTGAGTGAGTGAGTGAGTGAGTGAGTGAGTGAGTGAGTGAGTGAGTGAGTGAGTGAGTGAGTGAGTGAGTGAGTGAGTGAGTGAGTGAGTGAGTGAGTGAGTGAGTGAGTGAGTGAGTGAGTGAGTGAGTGAGTGAGTGAGTGAGTGAGTGAGTGAGTGAGTGAGTGAGTGAGTGAGTGAGTGAGTGAGTGAGTGAGTGAGTGAGTGAGTGTCTGAGTGAGTGAGTGAGTGAGTGTCTGAGTGTCTGAGTGTCTGAGTGTCTGAGTGTCTGAGTGTCTGAGTGTCTGAGTGTCTGAGTGTCTGAGTGTCTGAGTGTCTGAGTGTCTGAGTGTCTGAGTGTCTGAGTGTCTGAGTGTCTGAGTGTCTGAGTGTCTGAGTGAGAGAGAGAGAGAAAGAGATCAACAAACACAAACCACTATCTTTCTTACAGCTTTAAACTTCCGCCAACCGGCTTCGCCGGCTCTAAGTGTAGTTCCAGTGTGTTGTTTGGTTTGGTTTTTGCACGGAGTCTGCAAAGGGCAAAATTGGTGGTTGACGTACTAGAGTTTGAAGCGCTAAGCGAAGCATAGTAGCTTTGGAAAATGGGGTTTGGAGGCCACAACTCGATTCCCTGTGTTCACTTACAGCAATTTGCCTAAGAAACCAACAGATGTTTTGACTCATTGTTACAAGTTCGGCAAAGGGAAAGGGAGGTTTGGTGCGAAACCATTCTAAGAGGGAGGGGAAGCTACTCCCGAATATGGTATTTTGCCATTGGCAACAGATGCTTTAGCATCTCTCAGGGGGGCAGGTACTGGGGAGTGTTGGGGTGAAAGCTTTGTCAGGATACTTTGGCTCCATTCCACCCATTTGTGATTGTTTTTTGTTGGTTCCGGGCTTATCGATTTGGGTCAAATATTCTTCCAATTGGTTCCATGTTTGTTTCCCTCCCAGACTGAAGGTCATTTCGAAGGAACCTTAGCCTCTATGTCATTCAGGTTGCAAGGAATGTATCCCGTGCCGAGAGCATCGACCACCCCGGTGAAGCCCACAAGGGGTGGAAGGATGTGTATCAAGAGTACTGCTATGCCAATGGGACCGGCCCGCCGGCAGGGTGGATACCCACACGAAGGATTTCGATATGCTTGGAATGGATCTATGTGTTGATAAATTTCGCGTGCACCTCCAGAGAAGCCCATGTTCAGCAGCCAAGGCTTCAATTGTGTACTTCACCCATCCAAGTGTTGGGCCTTTGAGATGTCAAGGCGACAACTCAACACTGAAAAATAGCTCGTGGTGGTTTCTTTGCGGAATTTCACACCGGCGGGCAGTTGCATGTAAACTTTGCAACGTTGTAATCCAGGGAGGGGGGGGCCAAGATTGCACGACCGAACACGATGGGTTCCTTGAGCCTGGACCATCTAAATGACGTGCCGGTTGCAACACGGCGCGCATGCGCTGCACAACGCATGCCCACTTCTCCAGTTGCAGTTGCCTTTCTGCCTTTGCTTGTTTGGGATTGATCTTTTCATTCGAAGCCTCAGAAAGCAGTATGTGTTCTTGTTTCACCACTGGGCAAGCATTTCACCAGCATGACGGTGGATATATGGTCAAACACTACGTCGGCCTGGCGATTTCGGGGTTCCCCATCCTGGGCAGCAAGTTGAATGGGTGGCAGTAACCTGACGCCTGGGAGAGAGGAGTCGACATGTGACCAACAGAAACATGGACATCAGAAGAGCATGTGCCAAAGTTGCATGAAGAGTTTGCCAAGAGGAATGATCTATACATGTGTAGTAAGTTAGAGCAATGCCAGTCTCGTCCCCTTACAAAGTGATAAGCCTGGTCCCCACACAAAAATGTTTGTAGTGACGTGCCCCCTGCCACGCCCCCGCCATTCACAGGTGTCAATGGGGACGCCAGGCACTCAGCTGGGCTCGTGGTTGAACACTCAACACCTCTTGGGTTTGATTGAGCTGCCTTTGTGTGGGATGATGTTTAAAGGGGACATGTAGGAAATATTGTAGAGTTTGAGACGTTTCTTCTTAGGGGGTCCTCAGCTTTGACTAGTGAAACATGAGGTAGTTGTTGAGACGGATATCGCACTGAATTGCTGACTCATAAGTGCTAGTGTGTAACCGCTACGTCATGCGTGCCGCAGCAAGCCTTGGCGCTGATATTGATGCTGTAGTCGGTGCTGGGGCTGGCGGTGGTAATGGTACGTTTGGCCATAAATAGATGGCGCTGGTGTAGATTGTTTTTTTCCCTGTATAGCAGGGCCATCAATTTTACGGGCCATCGATTCTACCAAAAAGGACCCCTATCAAAGCGCGCTTGCGGTATTGCGGATATCCGGCACACAGCGCATTGGCTGCCCAGACGCCCATCGCCCAGCATGGGTTGTCGTTGCTACTGCGCACTTAGGGCCTTTGCAGCGTTGCAAACACCAAATAACTATCGATGTGGCCCTTCCTCACTTCTTAAACTTTTTGGTTCTGGACCATCTTCCTGAGTTGGACTTTAAACCTTTTTGGCTTTGGAAACAAAATAGTGGTAGATGAACAGTTCAATTACGTGTTTTTTTTCCCCGGCTGATGTCCACTCGATCGGAAGAGCTTCAGGGAGCTCCAGATGCCATTGAAGACGAGTTCACGGGACATGTTTTCCACTCGCGTTCTGGTGCATCCGAGCACGGCAGTTTACCACCCCTGGTAGAAACACACACGTTTGTTTCAGAAGCAGTGGGTTGCTTCTGACCAGATCAACTTGAGTTTCAGAAGTAAACCTGAACTGGTCTATTTCATCAAAACAAAACTAGGCGCACTATGTGTTGGTTTTTCACTGACGTGTTTTTTTCAGCATGCGAAAATGGTCCGCCCATGTTGTTGCTGATACAACGTGCCGGACCTTAGGTGCCACTCGTACGATTTTTTTTGCTAAGTCTGTGCTGCACGCGCGGGTGCCGGACAAGCTGCAGCGCTGGCCTGCTTGAACATGTTTATCCCCCCCTTGAAAATGGTTCATAGGGCGAGGGGGGATTTGGGCTGATAGGTTTCCGCCATCCCGCAGAGAGAGTCTTGCCATCCCCGGATGTCCCCCATCTCCAGCGCGTTCCGCGGAGTATCCCACTGGAGAGCGCACCCCGACAATGTCCCGCGTATCTCTAGGGGATCCCCCGCTTTGCATCGACCTGTTTCTTTGAATCAATTCGGTAGTTTTGGTGTGGGGATAGTTTTTTGGCTTTGGCATGCCAATGTCACTTAGTCGCAGGGCTGCTGTCCTCATTAAAGGACAATCTGTGTTATTTGTTGTTAGGGACGTCAGGGCATTTAAAGATCACGAGCTGCACCTGCCAAAGCTCAAAGAGGCTCAGTTGGACAGTCTGCTTAGTTCCCCGGGGAAAAGGGGCCCATGCTTTGAAACCAAAAGCCCTAAACTGCACAGACCTGAAGCCCTAAACCCTGAATCCTCGCTCGTGCAATCCCTGCACCCTGCAGTCTGGCTCAATGTGGAACGAGGGGCTACTTGATGCGTCATTTGCGCCCTTGAGTCATTGAGCGACCAGCTGGACTCGAAGGAGTTGGACTGGTGCCATGGCAGTTGCACCCGACGATGAGAACTCCAAGGTTCTGCCGGGCATCGAGGCGCTGCGTTTGATGGGTGCCACTGCAGACAGCCGGGAGCGGCCCTCTACACTCATTTGGATCACCGCGTTCTGTGCATAAGCAGCTTGTGGGATTATTCTGGTGTGCATCTTTGACCAAGATCAAGCCCACTTCGGGATCGCCGTCGCTGCCTACCCTGTGGCTCTGGTTCCCATGTTTGCACTAATGTTGGCGCGGCCCGTCCGGAGCGCCCAGTTCCGGCAGATGGAGGAGTTTCCAGGGGCAGTGTCTAGGGCTGCGGCAGTGCGGAAGAAGTGGCGTTCATCTTGGATTGCTGGACTGTTGCCTTCACTGGGCGCGACAGTGCTGCTGGGGGTCTTCTTGCTGCATGATCCAGCGCAGAGCAACGAGCTTGAGTTGCGTGCAGTTGGAGTAGTGCTCTACGGGCTGAGCAGCATTCTTCCCACGGCGATCTCTGTTTTCCATAGCTTCACGCTCTATGGAGCCATGGACCTTACATTGGCAGCAACCTGTGGGGTGGCCGATTCAGTCGTCGAAGGAATGGCCCTCCCAGAGCTGGCCAAGGCGACGCTGGGCCTCAAAGGCCTCTATGACGACTTGTCGCTCACAGCAATCGCCTCCTTGCTGCAGGTTACAGCCATGCTGTCGAGCTTCACCGCGCATTTGGCCGTGGTTCTGGCCAAGTGGCCGGCGCCTCCGGCTTTCTTCGTCCTCCAAGCCTTGCTGGTTTTCGTGGGGGCTCTGACGATGCCAGTACCCGCAGCCCAGATCTCAGCAGAGCTGGATCGTATTGTTGTCGCACTGGCCATGCGTTCCCTGAAGGCAGACTCCATGTTGGTGCACCCCAGCGGAGATATAGGTGAAGGCGCTGGCATGCATGCAACGGATTTGTTCCTGCTGCGCCTGGGCAAAGCGCGCTTGGGCTTTTTCATCGGGGGCTTGCCGGCCACCACCGCCTTCTTCTCTGGTCTGAAGCTGGTCTTCTTGCCGATCCTTCTGGCCGTCGTGCGAAGGCACGTGGATCTGGGGCTGTGAGCGCGGCGGTTTTTCATCGGCAGCGAAGCTTTGCATGATTTCGTTTTTGAGACCGCTCGCCATCTTCAGTCTGTTTCACGCTTGGCTGGTTTCACCCGTCGCGCCATCTCAAACAGACTCTTCACGGAGAGGAACAACAGTAGAGTTTCCAGAGGGTTCGTTGGTCCCAATAAGTACTGTAACCAGAATGGAATTTTAAGAACAACTTTCGACCCGTCCAGAGCAGCTTTCATTGAACTAAGCCAGAGCTAACGGGTTAATTTATCCATGAACTAGGAGGAGCTCATATCATATGCACGTGTTCATTCAGCCTTTGATCAAACCCACTCAGAAGCCTCAGCTCAGAGGCTTATGGTAGTGCGTGGTTCACCGGCAATTTCCCATCCTCGGCTGCTTTCTGGTTGGACCTTTAGCCTTGTGCGAAGATGTGGAGTAAACTCCCGTCAGTTTTGCTTTGTCAAGAGTGCATTGGCCGTCAATGTCACGATGCATCGCGCCAGGGGCGAGTCTGACATCCTTCCGGACTGCTATGCTGATGTCTCAGAGTCTGGATGTGCGCTGATTAGTGAACAAGCAATGTTGGACTGACCCTAACTTCAGGCACTTCACCCACCAAATGGACCAGGTAGGTAAAAAGCTCGCGACGCCCATTCAGAGACTTGCCAGCATCCCGAGTTGTTTCAGCAGATGTCCTGCCAGCTTCGCGAAATGAGTTCTTCAGGGCGGTCGCTTGGCTCGTTGTTCATTTTGATGTTTGGGTCGCTTCCTTGTTGGATGGTAAGGGAGAAGCTAAAACCCAGAGAGGCATTCCTTCGCCAGTTTGCCCGGCTCTTCCCGGCTTTGTTGCAAGCCACGCGATGGGGCACCTGCGGCCGGCCACGGCACGATTCTTCCATTTGCTTAAGAATATTGGTTATTTTCCTTGTTGGTTTTAAACGGAATCTATCACTACGAAAAATATGTGCATTTTTCCAGGCGGGTGGCTGTTACTGGTCGCTGGGTGGCTGGGGCTGTTACTCGGAGAGTATCTATTTCTTTGCTGCTGTGCTCAAACATCATTGGTAGTTGGGGTGATGCCAGACAAAATGAGCGTGTTTTGGGCTTGGTTTACAGGAACACTATCTGCAACACCAGCATTTTGGGGGGTCCAACCTGAAAAAAATCCACTCCCAACCTGACGGTTAAAGGACTCGCACTGACCACTCCAATGCAACGAGCCTTGGCTGGTGTGTTGAACCGGGTCGCCCGCAAATGGGTTGACGCTGGAAAAGAAGTTGCCAAGAGCTCAAGCCGGAGGTCTGGTGGTGAAACTTTTACACATACCCACTATCAGTATGAGGCGAGTCTATCATCGAACAATCACATGGGGGGTTGTCAACAAAAATGTGGACACCTTGGACCTCTTTCTAAGGCGGGCCCCACATAAACCAGGGCCCAACCGATTTGCGACCACCCCCAGATGCAAGCCTACCCGTCAGAGCGGAGCACGCAGACTTCGGAATGAGCCTCAGGATTCTGCCTCTGGCGTGGGCAGATGGAACTACCAGGCATGCGAGCCGCGGAAAATGACAGTGTTTCAGGTACCCTCCACAAATTAACATGCTGGGTCCCCCAGTAGTGCCCTTTTACCCCTTTTTTTGGGGAGGGTTCCCCTACTAAACTAGACTACAGAAAAAGGGTACCCTTATTCTAACCTCTCTACTGGAGGAGGACCTGGAACATGTGACCTGACAGGGGAGTCCTGGAAGATGATGTTCCTTGCAAAGGGACTCCCCGAACGTCAGGTTCCATGTTAATTGCTAGGTACTCATTTGTGAGCATGAGGAACTGTTGAAGGATTCATCGATTTACAGTCAATCTGCCGCAAAGCGGTTGAACGCCAGCAAGCTGTCATCAGCCATTGGCATACATTGAATGTTCCCACAGTGTTGTGCCCCGTTACGTGATTCAATCGTCGGCCCTGCTTGAACGGTGTATTGTTTATGTCGTTGCTTCCCAAGTTTGCTTGTTGCTTATTGGTGTTTTAGCTTGTGATCAGGGGCTTTGCATTGCGCACTGGAACACCTTTCAGATTGTTGCAGCATTGTGTTGCCGCAAAAGCTGTTGTACCCTTTGTGAGACTCAGTGCCTCTCAGTGTTCTCTTTATCACAACACTGCCGCAGCAATGCCCAGACTTTTGGTCACCTTGACCATTCATGCCCTGCCCCCTGCATACAGATCAATTCGATGCATGGCACTTCAGCGATTTGACCCCCAATCGCTAGTACATCCAACTTGAAATTGTACATAGATGTTCCATCGCAAAAAGGGGGCTGTTGGGCTGATGTTGAATGCTTCAACTTGAGTCTCTCCTCATTTTCGGGGCTGGTTTTGCCAGAACGCTAGGCACGTCTCGGTGAGGGAGGTCTCGGCTGGGGACTCGTTTGTGGAACCCGGCCACCCCGGATTCCGGGGCCGAGCTCTAAGGTCCCCCAGCTACGCAGCTAGGTGCCCGAGTTTTCTCACCGTTTCTTTTTTGGTTGGGAGGGTTCGGGACTCAACCGAAAATAGAAGAAACTGAAAAAAGTGGGTAGCCTTGATCCAACCCCTCAAATCAGGACCTAGCGGGTGCAAAAAGAACAAGCAGGGTCACAGTCCCAAACTTGGGCAACTCCCAAACTTGGTCGCAGCTTTGGTTTCCTTTTGTGGCTGTGGAAAGTGGGGTTGCGCCAGCCAACATATTCATAGCTCAAATGATGAGAGAACGGTGCTTTGAGTACTTCTGAGACGCCAGCAGTGTGGGATTTTGGGATTGCAAGAGTCGGTGTAAGATCCGCTCTTTGAAGCTTTGGGACCGTGGCCTCCGCGGAGACTTGTGCTCCAAGTGGCTCGTTCCGAAGTTCGAAAACCGTACATTTGTTCGATTGGCTTTTGCCGTCGATCGATCCTTTTGACCACCTGAGGCCCACGAATCCACTTGGCCAAGTTTGGGAGATGGCCGAGGGAGTTGTGAATGGAGTGCTCAAATTCGGAACCCCCCTTTCTCTTGCTGGTGCTGTTGGCAATGAACAGAGGGATTCCCGGACAGGAAACCACAAGGGATGGTTTAAGGATGGTTTAGGCATAGCTTGTGGGGCTCATTCCCTCATTCCCTGCTGAGAAGCAGCAGGGTCTAATTATTTTTAATGCTTCAAGGGGACTCCACAAGGAACACCACCCACAAGAGTGCAAGAGTGTGTGTTGCTGAGTGCCACGCATGTTGAGGTGTGGTGTACCGGGCCTACGACTGCCAGGGCTCTCTTGGCCACGTTGCCATCAAGGCGCGTTTGGCTGAAGTCTGGCTGGGTTGTCTTGCTGGCGCGATAGGCAGGGAATAAGGGAATGGCCCTTATAAGCCATCCGTTGTGATTTCCTTTAAGGGTATCCCCAGGTTCATTCCCTCATCCCCTAATGAGCACCAGCAAGTTTCTTTCGCGGTGGTAGACGTTGCACTTGGATGAAGCGAATGCCTAGTTTGTCCATAGAGCTTATTCACATGAAAAGTAAATGATGAATGATGGACTTGAGCAGGAATGAATCGTGCCACGGCTTCTGAGAAGCGATTAAATGATGTGGATCGCTCGCCCTTGTTGCATTTTAGGGCGACCAGTGGTGTCAAGTTGATCCCCCACTTCCTTTCCGGAAGTGCCACGAAAGGGGATGAGAATGGCCCGCATGTGCTTTGTTGAAGCAGGCGCCAATGTGAGATGTCAGACTCGGCGGAGCTTGAACTTGACACCACCAATTGGGCGTTTCAACAAAATCAGAATAACAAGCTGAAGATGGTCACCTTGGTCTCTCTGGATAGCATTTGGAACGGGGTCCACAAGTCTACGTAGCTCAACCGCGCCCCACGTTCAAATTCTGATTTCCTCAAGTTATTTTACCCCCCTCCTCAAACTCACGTGCTCCTGTTCAGTGGCGTTGGCAAGGGAAGCCTTGCCATGCCCCTCACTGGAGGCTGCGCGACTCTTGGCGTCGCTTTTGCGTGCTTTCTTTCACACCATGCAGGTCTTGAAGCATCCGCAGCGCGTGGGGGCTCCTAGAGTGGGGCTTCTTGCCGCCTGGCTTGTTCTTTTAGGGCCAATGTCCTCCAGCCTACGCGTTTTAAGTAAAACCGTGGTCTTTTAGGGGGACATTGGTTTCTGCTTTTTTAAGGCCCCCCCCCGACAGTTTGCAGCTGTAATTACATAAGGTGCCGGCGTCAAGCGTGAAAGTTGACCGAAAGCCGTGTCAAATGCCGAAATCTGAATGCGTGCGCAACGCTTTCGGTTTCCATGGTTGAATCTAAGACCAAAGTCACTACCCCCAAAACACTACCCCCAAAAACCAACATTGAGTGATGTTGCAGAACGTGATAGGATGCGACTTGTTGAATGTGCAGAGCGGTCGCGTATCGCCACAGAGTTTTGCGTGATTGAAGCGGCGAGGATACTTTTGCTCACCAACACGGAGTTAATCGGTAGTTGTTGTGGCCAAGCTTGGCCATAGTTGACCTTTCTGGGTGTCAAATGGATTTCATATGGAAGCCGACCATTCGAACAATTTGTGTTTGTTTTGGACACCTCGTTGACGCGTTCATGAGATACTTACTCTGGTGCATTTTGCTTGGATGTTAGGACTTTAACTTTTTGCCAACTAATGGGTGTTCCATTGAACCACTAAAAGTTAAACTTTTAGCAGGGGAGCAGAAAGCAACCAAGCTTAGTAACTCGTGAGCGACCATGGTGTGAAGCTACCATCCAATACCGTCGAACTCGATGGAAACTCGCACACGACTTGGCTTTTCCACTGGCTGCTCGGATGCATGTGGGGCTTGATCAATATGTCATGCCCCAAATGACATCAAATGACCATGGGTATTTTTCCCTATTTCGTGGGGAAAATCATAGTGTTCGTGCCCATGAATCACGGCCCTTTTTATCAATTAGTTCTGAGGCCTACTGGGGCAAGCAGCATTGCTTCGCCATGCATCGCGAGAGTCAATGGCCAGATCCCCAGGAATGCAATGACCGATGCTAGTGAAGGACGAACATTCAGATGGCAGGGTACAGTTCTTGCAAATTGTTACTCAACGGGGGTTTGGAAGGGGGGGGGGATTGGGAAA